AAGTATATAACCTTAAACGAGATTTTAATTAAATCCATTTTTTCCCAGAAGGTTATGAATTTGCTTAAAAACTCATTTAAGATCGTTTACCTAAATGACCCACATAAAGATGGTGTGTCAACACGTACACACACAAACAGATGATCTTTATTCATTAAAGACGAATTGAAACCGAAGGTAACGTTATAAACTGAATGATAAATTGTGATGGACACTCTCTAATCTAATCATATGCCTTTACGTGCATTTGTCTTTCAGATATATTGTGATAATTAGGCTGTAAGACGGGGATTTATATTAATGTAATAACCAGATTCCCAACACGATCCGTAGCTGAAAACGATGTTCTTCAAGTTTACTGTATGACATGGCTGTGTTGGATTATAAGTGCACGACAATACCAAAATTTTAAAAACTTTTCGTATCTATGGAATTAAAATGAATGTCAAGAGAAAATTTGTCATTTATAGACATTCACGGGAGCCTTCTCACATAAGTCTATAACAGCGTACTCTTCGAGTTCCAGTTGTTTTGTTGTTTCGTATCACTTCTGTCAACACTAATGGCTGTAAAATTCAATGCTAGCGTTTTCTTCATAACATCAACTTATGTACATGCATACATGTGTGTGTACTGTACGTGCACACACACAAACATGCATATACATATGTCTGTATACAGTTAGTTGTCTTTTCCCTAACAATTTCAATCGATTTCCGTAACTCTATTGTATTAGATATTTGATCAATCAGATCACCTAATGTATGATGTATCACTCGATTGTTGCATGTGTCATGACTAGTTAACTGATATTGTATTATTGGTGAATGTCTACTCCAGTTCTCTAATATGTGATTTCGATTTTCTGTATTTGTTTTTGCATTCTTTAATCTGTATTTGTTTTCCTTTATATCATCCATGGTCAATATGTTCTTATTAATTCACAGTTTTGATATGATTTTGAGTTTGATTTCACAGTTCACGGTTCACTGTTTTGTTTTGATTTGAAATGTAAACAGTAATACGTTCTTCTCTTCTCACAACTATAATGATGGTTTTGCAACTAAGGCGAGAGTTTCCTGTTTCTGCTTACTTTGTAAGTCGGTTTTCGTGATATGTTGAAAGTTTTCCAGGTTGAGTTATTGAACGAGAAGAGCATGCTGTTAGTTTCAGACGTTGAGAAAGCTCTTGTAACATTGACGACTCTGGGTTTACGACCAACCAATTAGACTTCACGTATATAACGGTTGGTATGTTTGGAAGTTTCACGTCAATCTCTCTTCACACTATTCTATGAAAACCATTGCCTACGGTTTTTTTGAGCTCTACAAGATGTATATGCAATGTAGTTCAAACCAGACAACTGATAGATTCAAAGAGTACTAGAAAAATATGGATTTCAAGAAATAATTATTACCTGTGACAGAATAACCAGAGCAATTGATTCAACGTCTAGTATAGGAAGTCTGTCAATCACTGTTACTTGTGGGTCTGTAAATTTAGTGTTGTGTAGGACACTATTATAACGCCTTAGAATTCATGAGATCATATATAGAATCCACCATATTTTGGTGGGTAATGGTTAACGTTTTAAACTATCATCTTGACAGGTTTTACTGGGATCGATGACCCGTTTGAGCCACCATCTATACTATATTATAAAGCATTTGACAAAAACTCTTAAAAATCCATTTTTATGCATCAAATATTGTATATTGATGCATATTACTTAAAATTCAAGATTACAAATAAATTATGCATAAGTACAACTTATTAAAGCTCCATGTTTGAATTCGTGTAATTAACTGCGGATAAACATAATCAAATAGAAGATAAACATCTTATTTTAAAATATAAAAAATCTAATATATAATTAAGATAATTATCGAGTTCTAACAATACAATTAATTATTATATTTATAAGAAAATTATATTATTAAACCAGATATAAATTACTTCGTTATTGAACCTAAAGTAAATTATAATAAAAAATTGAATTAAAAAATTACATAAAAAATGAGGAATTTTAAATAGTTAATTTGATACTAATATTGATATATTTTTGTCAAATTTTTATGATATCTTTAAATTTATATTTTATTGAAAAATAAACACATCACCGCTTTTTCAAAATCACATAAGACCATATTATAGCATCGATTGAAATAAATAATAAAATGAAATATTAAAATCGAAATGTATCTCGCTGTATTACACGAGTACCCTTCTAGTTGAATTCTAAGATACACCTACCTTTAACACTATTCAGTATTTGCAATTTGCAGTTTCTTACAAACATGGGTTTGGTCATTTGAGCAACCAGAACTCTAGATACGATGTCCCAACATTACGGTTCTTTAGATGGTGAAACTTTATACAAATATGCTGTCAACTCTTGAATAATATTTGCAACTAATAGTCTACTTTATAAAGCATCTGATATTTCGCTGGTGTAATGGTGGATATTCCTTGACATTTTTAACTGCAATCAGATGTATGCTACAACTGAAAATGGGAAAACAGAGGAAGTCTACGAACATAACGTTTAACGTCAGTTGTTGAACCATGTATCTTATATCATATTTCAAATCATCACTCTCTTTAACTAACTCGACATTTCTTCACTATCGATAAAAACAAAATTTTGGCTTTTCATCTGTAACAACGAACTGCCGTCGCACTAGGGAAAATATTAGAAATTAATATTTTACCTACTACGACGACGTGCCATCGCTATAGATAGAAGAACCAAATTTTTATATTTTACCTATAGCGACGAAATATCGTCGCAGTAGGGAGCTATACTATGAGCTTTTAACCACAAACGCTATAGCCACGACGGTCGTGGCAATAGACTTTTAGCGACGAAATTTTGAGCTTTAGCGACGACTTTTGTCGTTGCAAAAGGCTAAATTTTCTGCAGTGAACCATCATATTAATATAAAATTTTGGAATAAAATCAACTCATATCACTACAAAATAAAGGCTTCACTGACGGATTTGTGACGGATCACCGGCAGATAGACTATTACCGCCGATGATGGTCAATCCGATGGTGAATCCACACGTACGATCACCAGCCACAGTTTCTCTGGTCTTGAGATCCATCAGTGATGACTTTTCCAGCAGATCATCGATGGACTTTTTCGTCCATAAAACCCCTTTCGATTTTAAGTATATGTCAGCTTCCATAATCACTTGCACGAGTAAAAAACATTTCTATCAAAATGCTCGATCCACAACAAAAATGCGAAACTGCACATACTTGTTTTACTCATGTGTTCCACATGTTTTTGAATCTTACATAAAATTCAACATTTGAAATAGTCCTTATTAGACATAAAGTAAATAACACTAATTTATGCCAAAAGAATACAGAAATCATCATCCCACAAAAACATTATCGTCAAACTCTCTGAAAGTAACATACGATAATGTCTTAAAGCATCATTTATACGATACCGACCAAAGTTAATTCAATAACCAATCAATTTTCATTAATGTTGTATCGCAACAATTATACAACACAACCAACTAGTTCGTACTTTTTTTATAATAACAATACGTTATAACAAAATAGTCTATTTTAACCTCTGTAATATAATTATCAATACTATATTATAAAACATTTGACAAAAACTCTTAAAAACCATTTTTTATGCATAAAGTACTGTTTATTAATGCATATTACTTAAAATTTAAGATTACAAGTAAACTGTGCGGAAGTACAACTTATTAAAGCTCCATTTTGAATTCGTATGACTAACTGTAGATAAACATAATCAAATACAAGATAAATATCTTATTTTAAATATAAAAAGTTTAAAATATAATTAGGATAATCATTGAGTTATAACAGAATCATTATCTTTATAAAAAAATATATTATTAAACCCAAAAAAATAAATTACTTTGATATTAGATATAAATTAAATTATAATAAAAAATTGAATTAAAAAAATTGTACAAAAAATGACAACTTTTAAATAATTAATTTGATAATAATATCGATATATTTTTTCAAACTTTTATATCTTCAAATATATTTTTATTCAAAAGTAAAAGCATTATCTTTATCAAAACTATATAAACCGTAATGTATCAATAGAGACAAAAAATAAAACGAAACGTTAAAGTGAAGATGTATCTCGCTGTTTTGCGCGACTACCATTATAGTTTTAATAAAATATTTAATGATAGTTTTAGTTTTATAAAACAAATAACTATACATATTATAAACGCGTTACAGTAAACTGATAAAACTTAATTAAATAACATAAAAACTGTACCTTTATAAACATAAAATTGTTTATTGGTTTTATTAGTATTTTTGTGACATATATTTAAAAGTGGCAAATTACATGAGAAAGTTACATATTTTAACTTGATTTCTATTTTGGATAACGTATTTTTAAAACTTCTATTTTGGTACCTAAAATATAAAGTTTTTAAACATTTAAGTATCCGGGTAACTGGTTGAGATATTAATTGGTGACCATACTGATACGACGAGTGATGAAATGAAATTAGATTGAATAACAAATAATACTGAGTTGGATATCATATCACTCGCCACATCAGCATGGTAACTGATTAATGCTTCAACCGGTTATTAATCGGTTACTCGGGTACTTAATATTTAAAACTTTACATCTTAGATATCAAAATACAAATTTTAAAAATATATTACCCAAAATAGAAATCAAGTTAAAATATGTTATTTTTTTAATATAATTTTCACTATTTAAAAGTGTTTTATTGTAATGTGTTAAAAAAATATATATTATGGACACATGATTTTTGTATTGCTACAAGTAATAGTTAAAATAATGTTATAACCAAGTATTGAAGAAGCCATTTAATTTGATGACACGTGGACTCTTGGCGGTTTGATAGTTGTATCGACTTTTATTTCAAAAGGTTGTATCTACCATCCTACTCTATATATACCCCTTCGCTTCTTTACCCACCCTTCATAGAATCACTTCTTTCCACCACCAATGGCCACCGCTAAACACCATCATTCCGCCACAAAAACCACCGCTAACGGTGGCGCAAACGTGCAGATTCAACGACCACCACCCCCACTTCCAAATTTCCTGGCTTCTGTTAAACTTAAATATGTTAAATTAGGCTATCATTATCTCGTCACCAACCTTCTCACCCTCTGTCTCCTCCCTCTCATTGCCGTCGCCGCCGTCCACGTTTCCCAGTTAAACCTTGACGATGTCGGGAATCTTTACCGGCAACTCCAGTATAACTCCATCGCCGTCATGGCGTTAGGCGGCGCCGCCTTGCTTGGATTCACTGCCTACCTTATGACCAGACCTAGAACTGTTTATCTCGTTGACTACTCCTGCTACCGGCCGTCGGATGACCTGAAAGTCCAATTCAACAAGTTCATGGAGCGCTCCAAGATTCACGGCGGTTTCAATGAGTCGGCGCTTGAATTCCAAAGAAAAATACTCGAACGATCAGGTCTCGGAGAGGAAACTTATCTCCCGGCGGCGTTGCACTGCATCCCGCCGGCACCGTCCATGGCCGCCGCGAGACAAGAAGCGGAAGATGTTATGTTTGGAGCTCTTGAAAATCTATTCAAATCCACCAACGTTAATCCAAAAGATATCGGAATATTAGTTGTGAATTGCAGTCTTTTTAATCCAACTCCGTCGTTATCTTCCATGATAGTTAACAAATACAAGCTCCGTGGGAACATTAAAACGTTTAATATCGGCGGTATGGGTTGCAGCGCCGGCGTGATCGCCGTCGATCTCGCGAAAGACATGCTACAAGTACACCGTAACAGTTACGCAGTAGTCGTCAGCATGGAAAACATAACTCAAAATTGGTATTTTGGGAACAAAAAGTCAATGCTGATCCCAAACTGCTTATTCCGAGTCGGTGGCGCCGCCGTCCTGTTATCGAACAAGTCCGCCGATAAACGCCGTGCAAAATACAAGCTTCTTCATGTTGTCCGAACCCACTGTGGATCGGACGACACCGCATTTAACTGCGTCTACCAAGAACAAGACGCCGCCGGAAAAACCGGTGTTTCACTGTCGAAAGATTTAATGGCGATCGCCGGCGGTGCATTAAAAGCAAACATCACCACCTTAGGTCCACTGGTTCTTCCAATCAGCGAACAGCTTTTGTTCTTCGCGACCCTAATCGCGAGAAAACTAGCGAACACTAAAATGAAGCCATATATACCTGATTTTAAGCTGGCGTTTGATCACTTTTGTATCCACGCCGGCGGGAGGGCGGTGATCGACGAGCTGGAGAAGAACTTGCAGCTGTCGGAAGAACACGTGGAGCCGTCAAGGATGACGTTATATCGGTTTGGAAACACGTCATCAAGCTCGATTTGGTACGAGCTGGCGTACACGGAGGCTAAAGGGCGCATGACGAAAGGAAACCGTGTTTGGCAAATTGCTTTCGGTAGCGGCTTCAAGTGTAACAGCGCCGTTTGGGAAGCCACTCGAGCCGTGAAGCCATCGGCTAGTAACCCATGGGCAGATTGCATTGATAAATTCCCTGTGGAAATACTCAAATAAATATTCAATTATTTAATTTGAAGAAAAAATAGATTAAATTATTATATTATTTATAATCCTTTTTTTATTTTATAATTTTCTTATAAAGAAAATAATTAGTTATTTTGTTAGAATTCGATAATTATCCTACTTATATTTTAATTTTTTATATTTTAAAATAAGATGTTTATCCTCTATTTGATTATGTTTATCCGCCAATTAGTTATATATTCAAATATGAAGCTTTAATAAGTTGTATTTATATATAATTTACTTGTAATATTTGAATTTTAAGTAATATGCATCAATATACAGTACTTTATACATAAAAAATAGTTTTTAAAAGTTTTTGTCTAATGTTTTATACTATAGTATAGATATAAGGAAAATCAAGAAATATTAAGATGACATCATAAAAATTGAGTATTTATTAACACGTTATAAAAACTACCTAAAAATCAAATTATATTAAATTAAATGAAGGTTATTTTTATTAAATAAATAATATTATAAAAATAATTGACTCAAATGGAAATTTCCACTTTAAGCTAGACATGAAGATATGAGGCACCATATGCTTACGATAGTTCCACTTCTTCATAACGATATACGGTCAAACGAAAAAGTCAACTTCAAATAATAAAAAAGTAAGAAGAGGATCACACTCATCATAAGCCCTTTTTCCTCTTTTCTATGCAAAATTGAATACATGTATAATATCTTTACCTTTTTTTTAAAATCGTGTTTGTTTAAGTCGGTTTTTATGCACCGTGATTAATTTCAAGGGTCTTATTGAACAACTAAAAAAGTTAGCAGGGGTCTTACAAGATTTTTGTTTCTCCTTGGATTTGAACCTGAGACCTTCAGACAATTTTGACATTTTGAGTCAAACTCAAACTAATCAGGCATCACCTTTGTGGTTTGTTTCTTTATGTGTACATATAGTAAATAGAGATACAAAAAGTATCTTTAAATTGTAGATACTTAAATTATTGAGCTTAAACCTATAGTTATACGTTTGTGGATGCTTACATCTACAGGAAAATTAGTGTGTTCGGAAAATTATATACGAGTGATGCTATATGCAGTGGCGGATGCATGTAGAAGGGGTTGGGGTCGTGGGCCCATAAATTTTTATTTTACTTATAATTTTTACGTTTATATGATTGGGCCCCCAATAAAATAATTATGAGGCCCAACTACCAAGTCCATAATTCATTTAGCCTTTCATTTCCAAGTTCCACCGGTCCATCCCATGAGGCCACGACTTCACCTTCATCCAAGTTCCACGGCTGATGGTGTCTGGCTGTACATCGTCACTGCTTCTTCCTGGTTCCTGCTTCCGCCTTCCTGCACATCGCTACAGCTACTGCTCTGCTGCTCCCTCTCTCTTCCCTATTCCTGCTTCTTCTTTGCTTCCTTGATAGCAATGCACCGTGACCATGCACTGCCCACTGTTTGCTTCCTGTGGCTACTCCAATTTGGGTAAAAAGCTAAAGTTTTGAGATCCAATCTTTAATTTTTAATGACTTTGATTTTGTTGTTTGTTTCACAATTGGTGATTTGGTGAATGCTTATGTTAGGTTAATTTTGCAATTTCTTAGGTAAATGGAAATGCTACTATAGATAAAGATAAGCCATTGATTTTTATCTTGTTATTACTATTGCTAGAAAAAATGGAAATTTTTTTTAAAAGGGAAGCATCAACACCTGAATCGAGCTCTGCTCCTTCGATGCCCTACGAAATTGATTTGAACGATCTTCCTTGGGATGCAGCCGATAGGAAAGAGATTTCGGAATATTTTATCTTATATCATGTCCCCTACAATATATTTTTTTGCAATTATATTATTAATTTTATCTTAATATCAGAATCATGTCAAATCATGTAGTGATGATGTATAAATAAATCTCGGTGTTGATGTGTTTGAGAATGAAATTAATAGATAAGGGTGTATTTAGTTCATATGCTGTTAATCTTTTTTGAAACGCATGTCATAAATGAATCCGGCTATATTTGTATCCACGACTTTAACACTACAACTTTTTCACCTGTATAATCTTGACTTTTTTTTTTTGAAACAAAAAAGTTGCTTTCTTGAATTATGTTGATGGTATTTGTTTGTAAGTTATTGTATATCTTCTTAAAAACTCTTTTTAGACTGTGTTAAGTAAGAACCAGTTAGGTACAAAATGCTTGTTATCTAAGGGGCCGTTTACCTAAATGCTTACACGGTAAGTGCTTACCATTAGGAGCCAACACTATAATTTATTTTACTGGATAAAATTATAGTACTTCAAAATGTATTTATGCAACAATTTATCTGGTAAGCGCTTACCATTAGGAGTCAACACTATAATTCATTTTACTGGATAAAATTATAGTACATCAAAACGTATTTATGCAACAATTTATCTGGTAAGCGCTTACCCGGGTGAGAATCGTCACCCTCACTTACCGGGTAAGACTCTCCATCTTATTATCGCTCTTACCGGGTAAGATTCTTCCCCCTTGCCATGTTCATTTAGTGAAGAAAATTATTCAGTAAGTACTTACCGGGTAAGCGTTCAATAAACGGCCCCTAAATGTGAACCAAGTATGATCCAAATTAAGACCATAGCTAGATGATAGAACACAGGCATATCACGTCTAAAAGGGTCCTCATTTTTCGAGTCTTAACTGGTACAAAGAAAGATCGTTCAAGAACAGGACCGAAGGTCAGTTCAAAAGCCAAATTTGGCTTGTTTAGAGCCTGATTAACCCCTCTAATAACGACGAGTTTTATTAAAGTGGTTGATGAACTATATGTATAATATATATATATATATATATATAGAGAGAGAGAGAGAGAGAGGGGGGGGGAATTTATATGAGAATGATACCTATTTAAGAAAGTAAAAGAATGACCAAATTACGTACAAAATCACATGTGCTTTTATATTAACTGCCAACAAAGTGTGCGGACGATCCTATGGCCATGTGACAAGGTCGCATGAATCACATGTGATTTTATACATTATGATAGTGTAAAATCACATTATATATATATATATATACATATATATCTATCTATCTTCCACGTAAGCAACAAAAAGATTTTCTTAAAACAAAAAAAAAAAAACGAGTCTCATTAAAATGGTCATTCCCAAGTCGCTAATAGTTTTTAGATCAAGAACCAGATCCGTGAGAACCAAATAAAATCCAGTTTATGATCGGTCTTTACAAATCTCTAACTAAAACTCGATATTTCATCAAATGTTTTTATAATTTTTTAAACAAAACGAACCTTCAGAGAGCTACGTGTCTAAGGTTGTACACGTTTGACAAACTAGCTGATAAACTAGATGATGAACTAGTTATGTTTAAAAAAAACTATCTAATAAGAAAATTGAAAAATGTAAATAACCAAGAATGATATTTCATAATATTAGATATTTTACTAACAATTTTCTAAAGAAATAATACTTAAATTAAATGGTTTATTAAAATTTTATTTTATTGTAAAACGAAAAAAAAATACATCTTTAACTTTATGTAATTCATAGGAACAAATTTAAAATTATTATATTTATTTTTTAACGAGTAAATATATTGAATAATAATATACAAATAATTTATAATATTAATAATAATTCTAATTAATTAATTAATCATAGGGTGGTGTCTGATTGGTTTGAGCTTGGCTCCAGAGGTCAAAACTACTGGGAGGTCCCAGGTTCAAATCCAATGAGAAATAAAAATCCCCTTATGGCCACGGAGGTTCAAATGCGATGACTCCGGACTATCTGTAAAGCAATTAGTCGGCTCCCATAGCGGGTTGAATATCCAGGTTAATCAAAAAAAATTCTAATTAATTAATAATTTAAAATTAATATTATATATAGTACATTAATATTAATCAAGGGTATAAGTGGAGGGAAGCGACAAAAGTCTCTTCTAATTTATTGAAACGTTGCTCAGATAATACTTCAATAAAATAGCTTATAAACTAATTTTTTTCCCTATCTGAACAAAGTTTTTGAAATCAGCTAAAACATAAACTAGTTTATTTCTTTAAACACTGCCTAAATTTTGTTTACGTGTAACATAAGAACTTGCAGTTGAGATATTTATGGGGGGAAATTAGCACCCTTTTTATTTACGAGGAATAAAAATCCCTTTATGGTCACAAAGGTTTAAATACACTGACTTCAGGTTACCCATAAAGCAGATGATTATTCTGGAATTAGTCAGCTCACATAGTAAGTTGAATATCCAGATTAATAAAAAAATTAACACCTTTTTATGGAATTAAATTTTGGAGGAACTACATTTAGAATGCATATATTTTTCTTTCAAGTGTTATTATTGAAAACATACTTGTAAATGAGATACAACTTTATTTAAATTGGAAGTTATTAAATAGATATATTTAAATTAGACTTTTGATTTAGTTATTGATTTAGAGACTTAAAGAGGTAAGATATATAAATTTCTTATTAATTTTATTAATTATTTGAATGTATTTATCACTTCATTATTAGCTTTTTTTTTATGGAATTCAAAAAACTTTAAAAAGTTATTTATAATTAACTTGTAATCTTAAATTTTATAATAATTACATTAATTAACAGTGCTAAATAATATATTTTTAAGATTTCTTGTTTTATAATATAATATAGATAATATATTTTACCTAGTGAGTCTAAATTTGAACTGAATCATAAAATATAGTAATCCTAAAATAAAAAATACCATATATTCTTTAAAAATGAAAAAATATTAATGGCCTATAAATTGTATCTTTGATCTTTTAGGACAGACAAAGGATCAAATTTTGATATCCTTTGCCACATCATAATTTTGATTATTGACCTACTTCATTTCTTTAGCTACACATTCATACATATATATATATATATTATATATATATATATATATATATTAGGATCCAAGCGTTTACCACTACGCCAAAAGCAATTGTTGATGAAGAAGGCACAACTTATTTCCTTATAACATAGCAGTCAGCGCCACGTTTTGT